TGTTAGCTCAATTGGTAGAGCGCTGCACTAGTATCGCAGAGGTCAGTGGTTCGAATCCCGTACAGGCCTGATTTTTTTCAGGTCTGATTTTCGCTATTGCTTAAATAGCGCTATCTACTGCGAGGATCGTGCATCATACGTATCTAATACCGCAGTTCAAAATATATGAACTTCATATATTTCATTGTATCTGATTTATCACTTTCACGGGTTTATTACGAATCAACTTAACGGCCTGCTCCCAGTTGGCTTGTTAGCTCAATTGGTAGAGCGCTGCACTAGTATCGCAGAGGTCAGTGGTTCGAATCCCGTACAGGCCTGATTTTTTTCAGGTCTGATTTTCGCTATTGCTTAAATAGCGCTATCTACTGCGAGGATCGTGCATCATACGTATCTAATACCGCAGTTCAAAATATATGAACTTCATATATTTCATTGTATCTGATTTATCACTTTCACGGGTTTATTACGAATCAACTTAACGGCCTGCTCCCAGTTGGCTTGTTAGCTCAATTGGTAGAGCGCTGCACTAGTATCGCAGAGGTCAGTGGTTCGAATCCCGTACAGGCCTGATTTTTTTCAGGTCTGATTTTCGCTATTGCTTAAATAGCGCTATCTACTGCGAGGATCGTGCATCATACGTATCTAATACCGCAGTTCAAAATATATGAACTTCATATATTTCATTGTATCTGATTTATCACTTTCACGGGTTTATTACGAATCAACTTAACGGCCTGCTCCCAGTTGGCTTGTTAGCTCAATTGGTAGAGCGCTGCACTAGTATCACAGAGGTCAGTGGTTCGAATCCCGTACAGGCCTGACTTTTTTCAGGTCTGATTTGCGCTATTGCTTAAATAGCGCTATCTACTGCGAGGATCGTGCATCATACGTATCTAATACCGCAGTTCAAAATATATGAACTTCATATATTTCATTGTATCTGATTTATCACTTTCACGGGTTTATTACGAATCAACTTAACGGCCTGCTCCCAGTTGGCTTGTTAGCTCAATTGGTAGAGCGCTGCACTAGTATCGCAGAGGTCAGTGGTTCGAATCCCGTACAGGCCTGATTTTTTTCAGGTCTGATTTTCGCTATTGCTTAAATAGCGCTATCTACTGCGAGGATCGTGCATCATACGTATCTAATACCGCAGTTCAAAATATATGAACTTCATATATTTCATTGTATCTGATTTATCACTTTCACGGGTTTATTACGAATCAACTTAACGGCCTGCTCCCAGTTGGCTTGTTAGCTCAATTGGTAGAGCGCTGCACTAGTATCGCAGAGGTCAGTGGTTCGAATCCCGTACAGGCCTGATTTTTTTCAGGTCTGATTTTCGCTATTGCTTAAATAGCGCTATCTACTGCGAGGATCGTGCATCATACGTATCTAATACCGCAGTTCAAAATATATGAACTTCATATATTTCATTGTATCTGATTTATCACTTTCACGGGTTTATTACGAATCAACTTAACGGCCTGCTCCCAGTTGGCTTGTTAGCTCAATTGGTAGAGCGCTGCACTAGTATCGCAGAGGTCAGTGGTTCGAATCCCGTACAGGCCTGACTTTTTTCAGGTCTGATTTGCGCTATTGCTTAAATAGCGCTATCTACTGCGAGGATCGTGCATCATACGAATGAAATAAGCTTGTACAAAAGGAAAAGAGAATTTCATTCGAGCTCCCCTCATAATCTTGCTCTATAGAAACCAGGACGCAATTTATACGAGAAATTTTTACAATGAATGCCATAAGCGACAGATCATCTTACGACAGGTTTATTTTTACGTTATCTTTTTAACTCAGGCCTCTGCTTCCTTGAGTTCTCATTTTATTTATTTGTAAAATTTTTTCCTTCAAAAGAACACCCGTATCCTGTGGAAATGAATGAATTCCACCCAAAGATTGAATGAAAAAATAAAAAAGAAGTAGAACAGTGCTAATGTTTTCCATCGATCCGATAACAGCAGTATGACATCATTCGTCGATTTTAATTGTCCTATTTCTCAGTTAATTCGCGATGTTCAGTGAATAGTTTTTAAATAGAAAATCTCAACATCCATATTTATAACATATTACTTCATCTGAGCAGTTCTCCATCGTTTAATTGATCCATAAATACGATGCTGAGCCGAAGTAGCTAATTTGCATTCACAAATAACAGTTTTCATTACCATTCAATTCAATTCTTCGGAGATGTTGCATAATCAGTGAAAAACAACTAACACAACAACAATGCTGCCATTTGTAACGCACACCTGTATATTTGTCTGCAGAATATATCCAATTTTGCTCCGATCGAGAAGCAAACATTTTTGAACTCACGAGTAATTCTCTAATTCATAGCGAAGCTTGCGGCGCGTGCAGCGAAGATCTATTCTTAAAACAAAAAAAAAAAAAGAACAAAAAAAATGGCGGTAACACATCAAGCCGAGCATATGATCGTATTCAATGGGAAATATGTAAAATCCATCATGAAACAGTATAGCACTGAGGAAGCTTTGCGATGTTATCTGATATATTTTCAGTATGTCATTAAGTATGGAATCTTATTATAATTTAGCGTGTTGACCGACTCCTCTACGCCCCCTCCCTCCCCTCCCTTCATGTTTATCCTGATGCCCACGCCAATGAAGTTATTTGCATACGATGTAGACGTCAACAACTACAACGAGCTTTTTTTTTTTTCATTTAAAAGATGGGAAATTTGCAATAACTTTCGATAGGAAAAATATTAAATCGCAAAAGACATCTACCTTTAAACATGATTCCTTGAAACTATTTTCATTAACCGCGTAATCTATGAACCTTTTACTATCTGCGCTATTACAAAACGTGAGCGAATAAAGCTATTTAAGTATCTTGAATTTTTTGTATTAATGAAGCGAAACATTTCTCCACATCTGGTGGAAATAGCCTCCAGCCTCGTTGGTCCGTTTATAAAGGGAAGAAAATAATTGTGACTTATCTCACTAAGAAGCGATCGAGTATTGTTTTGTTCACTACACACTATCTCCTTTAAAACGTTAGAAAATCTGTTGCGCTTGGGTTGTTATCAAGTGGGCTTCAATCCGGTAAAATGTTTACAGCACTGTCAATACATTGTGCGCTGAGTAAGTACAAACTCTACTTTATCCAGTGGTTTTGTTCCACAAATGTGAAGTAAGTACTGAACTGTTAGATAAAGATATCTCGGTATTGGAACGTCCTGTAACCCCAAGAGAAATCCAACCGGAAAGAACATATTATCGGCGGCTTTTATTAGGCTCTCTCGACTAATCAAATTTTTTAATGTCTGTTCTTAGCTTTTATTATAATTGAAAAGAATATAGCCAATAAAGATAAATATAGAAATTGAAACAAAGGAAGAGAGGTGTTTAAGCTTCTTTCGGAATATAGTTATTAGTTTTGTAAAGACGTAAAATGATTTGGAAACAATTAACCACATTGACAAAATTACGCGGTTATGAAATCGAAATTCACGATATAATTCATTGTTATTGTGTCATAAATGAAGTTCGGTGCAATACCTTTCAGAAATAACATGTAGGCTCTCAGAACACAATAGCCTGGTTACCTACATTCTGAAGTTGCTGTGACGAGATGTCAGCCGACAAGCACACATTGTAACATCTACTGCGTACAGAAACGAATTAAGTTCATCGTTTAAAACTTATGACAATCTTGCACGAAAAGGGAAGGGGTTCACCCGAGCTCATTCTCTAAACAGGTTCTATAGAAAACGATGATTGCGATAGACAGATGGCAAGTTTGGACAAGAAATTTTCAAAGTTAGTTAATGCCGGTAGCGACAGTCAATTGTGTCGGCCTAATTTTTTTTTTCCATCAGTTTAGATTAAGTTCCTGCTTCCTCGACTATTCATGGACTTGAGTTGTAAACCATTTTTCTCTAAAGGGAAGCCAAAGGTCTTTAGAATTTGATGAATTTTACCCCGAGTGCAGTATTCATGTTTTCCATCGTTCTCATGGCAGAAATATGGCTCATTTTAATCACTCATCAATTTCACTGGTTTTTTTTTTCAATGAATTCGCTACGTTTAGCTTCAAAATTATAAATTTAAGTAAAGTACAGATCAATTCAGTTTAACGTTTCCTCTTCGTTTAATTTATCGATAAAACTCTGGGGTGAAACCTGCTAAATGGCATTTAAGAATTGACCTTACTAATTCACAATTTTCATTTCCTTTCGAGTCACTTTTTTTTTGTAGATCTTGTCTTGATAAAAACAGGCAATGATCCCAACTGGCGCAAAAAAAAGGATGTTTATCTTCTGCCGCTCTTCATATCTCCAAAACCGGTTTTTGTCCAACGATTACCAGAGCATATCACACAATTTTATCTTACACCGGATCAAAACGGACTATTCACAGTGGGCAAGATGAGCCCAAAATTTATAACAGTCATCACAACGAAGATACATACTACTCTCTCAGTCGATTTGGATCATCAGGTGGTTGAACTGGTTTTGCATTTCGCAGTAGCCCATCAGACCTCATCCCCCCATCCCCCAAACCTCATTGTCATTGACGAAAATCATCAAGAGAGCGGTCTTTTGATTTTATTTTAGACGTCGACAAGTGTCTTGAAAACCACAATTGTAGCGAGAACGCCAACTGTTTAAATATTGAGGGATCTCACAACTGCACTTGCTATCCTGGATTCAGCGGGGATGGACATACATGCGAAGGTAAAATCCAACAGAACAATATATTTTTAAACACATGCAATTCCATCGGTATTCTTTCTCCTTAAGGAGGCTCGAAAGGGTTTTTCCCAAGTAACAGCAAGTGCTAAATAATGAAAGATATCAGGACTGTCAAACTTATCATCAAGGTAAGGTTTTGACATTTGTATAATACTATTTTAGTACATTTTTTAAGGGTGTTCGTCAGGCTCCGTCTGGTGCCATGGCAAAAGAACAACGGTGCTAAAGGACCCACTAAAACTCAGTTTTTGGAAAGATATCTCCAAAACCAAGTCGGTGACTTAGTTTGTTTTCAAATCTCTGAAACATCATCGCATTTACTATCTGCACACGTGATATAAAAAAAAGCTGCCTGATAAAACTTGAGTTATTTAGGAAAATGCTGTTACACGATGTAAAAAAATTTACACTAGATAATTTTTTTCAATTCTCTTCACCAACTCGTAATGATGAATATTATTTATACACAAAAAATCAGGGTAGGTCACCCAACTAATTTTCAAGATATTACCTAGTCAACTTAGCAGGCTTTATTTCCGGTTTTTGCAATTTAAACTTACAGTTTTATATCTGGTCACGCGTTTTAAACGATACCGCTAACTCAACGGCGCATTTTCGAGAGGGTGAGAGTCCGTGAA